GATTCTATACTTAGAGAACCCTAAAACCTCTACCAAGAAACTCCTAGAAACGATAGATGTGTATAGTAAAGTTGCAGGCTATAAAATCAATACCCAAAAGTCCATGGCTTTCCTATATGCAAATAGTGAGAAGAAAATGACATGAAGACAACAATCCCATTCACAATTTTACACCAGAAAATTAACTACCTAGGAATTGGTTTAACTAAGGAAGTAAAGGACCTGTACAAAGAAAAATACAAAACACTCCTTCTTGAAATCAAAGAGGATGCAAGGAAATCTAAAAATATTCCCTGCTCATGGATGGGGAGAATTAATATTGTGAAAATGGCAATAGTTCCCAAAGCACTGTGCAAATTCAATGCGATCCCTCTTAGGATACCCATGACATTCTTCAAAGAAATGGAGCAAACATTCCTGAAATTTATATGGAACAATAAGACCCCTAGAATAGCTAAAGCAATTCTTGGGAAAAAGAAAATGGGAGAATTTAACCTCCCGAATCTCAAACTCTATTACAAAGCAGTAATAATTAAAACAGCATGGTACTGGAACAAAGGCAGTGCTGCAGACCTATGGAACAGGGTTAAATATACTAACATCTCCCCTCAAACGTATGATCATCTAATCTTTGATAAAGGGTCAAGAAATGCAAAGTGGAGTAAGGAAAGTCTTTTTAACAAATGGTGCTGGCAAAACTTGACGACTACATGCAAAAAACTGGGCTCAGATCTCTGCCTAACACCATGTACAAAAGTAAGATCAAAATGGATCAAAGACCTCAATATCATACCAGAATCCATAAGGTACATTGAAGACAAAGTTGGCAAAACCCTCCATGAAATTGATGCTAGTGGTATCTTCAAAGATGTCACACCACTGCCCAAGCAAGTGAAAACAGAGATAGACAAATGGGACTATTTTAAACTAAGAAGCTTCTGCACCTCCAAATAAACAGTGACCAAAATACAAAGACAGTCCGCAGAATGGGAAAGAATATTCTCCAAATACACATCCGACAAAGTGTTGATATCAAGGATATACAAAGTACTGGTTGAACTCCACAAGAAGAAAACATCCAACCCCATCAAAAAGTGGGGCAACAAAATGATCGATGGTATTGAATCCTTTTCGGAATCCAGCTTGTTCACATGGTTGTCCTTCATCTAGTGTTCTGCTAATCCTATTCAGGATGACTCGAGTGAATAGTTTGTAGATGACAGACAATAGGCAGATTGGGCGATAGTTGCCAATGTCGTGGATGTCTCCTTTCTTGTATAGTAGTACAGTCCTGCTGGTTTTCCATTGGGATGGAACCTTGCATTCAGACAGGTAGCGTGTGAAGAGTCGAACCAATGTATTGATGAGTACTGATGGTAAGTTCTTTAGGTGTTCAGGTCTGATCTTGTCTGGGCCAGGTGCTCTTTGTTTCTTTACCGACGAGATGCCATGTTGGATTTCAGAAGGGAGAGCATTGGGAACGACATATCCATCATGTGGTATGTGGTATGTGGGCAAGTGGATGTGGCTATTAAAGAGATCTGAGTAGAAGTCATGAATAATCTTCTCCATTGCCCTTCTGGAAGATGTGATAGATCCATCATGATGTCGGAGGGCAGTCATCTTGGTTTTGTAGTTGGTGAAGGACAGGCGGGTATTACGAATGTTTTTCCCAGCTTCTGCTGCATCTACCAGTACTGCTGCTCTCCTGTTTTTGAGGTCATCCTTGATGGCTTCTCTGCATTGTTTTGCCAGTTCGGATGTTCGCTTGTGGTTGCCTGAGGCATGTGCCAAGCCACGTTGGCGAATAAGTTCAAGAGTGTTCGAAGAAAGACGGTTTTTTATGGTTAACTCTCTCTTGGCATTCCTTGCACAATCATGGAGGTGCTGAATCATTCGATCGTATTCCTCATCAATGTTGTCAATGACGGCATCTTCCCATGTTGCCGCAATAGAGCCAAAGAGCTCCCAGTTGGTGGTTGTTCTGGGAGTCCTCTTCTTAAACCTTGCATTCTTTTCTCCTTGTTCTGTGAGGTAGAATTTTGCACGAAGACGACGGTGGTCTGATCCCGTTTGGAATTTTGGGACAACAGCAACATCGGTTAGGCAAAACCGCCGATTGAATATGATGTGGTCTATTTCATTGTGGAACCGTCCATCAGGAGATTCCCATGTCCAACGTTTAGATTCAGCCTTTTTGGAATTGTGAGTTACCATGGAAGGTTTTGGTTGACATGATGAACTCAGGAAGTCTGTCACCCTGTTCGTTCCATTCCAGGCCATGGGTTCCAATGTGGATTTCATCGACTGATCTTCTTGGTCCTATCTTGGCATTAAAATCACCGACAATGACCTTGTAGAAGGTGTGATCTTCTTTATAGAACTTCTCCAGCTCCATGTAGAATTTCTCAGTTTCTCTTTCACCATAACTGGATGTTGGTGCATAGACAACAAAGATAGAAACTGCCGGTAGTGAGCCACATTTATTCAAGTGTAATCGTCCGATTCGGGTTGTTAGGCATTCGAATGAATCAATGCTCGTGACTAAGTTTGTGTTGACAAGGATACCGACACCACCGACGCCTCTTTTATCACATGTTCCAAGGAACAGTTCTTCTCAAGTGTCGAAAACAGCATGATGGGATTGATGTCTTCTCGTTTCGGTCAGACCAATGATGTCGTACTTGATCTTTCGCGCTTGTACCATAAGGTCTTCAATGGATGCAGCAGATGCCAGCGTACGAGTATTAAAAGTACAGACAATCATTTTTGTTTTTCTGCGTTTTGGCAGCCTATGTCTGCCTTGGTGTTTTATCAGCCTCTCCTTCCGTATCCTTCTCGAGACTCTGCATATTCAGGGTTAGGGAAATGAGATCCATTTATTACTGGATTTGGCATATCAATTTGGTCTATTTGGCATAGACCACGGATAGCTTGCCAGGCTCTGCCGTGCGGGTTGGATATTTAGGGTACCCTGAAAACTTAGAGAAAAGTAAATAAATAGTCGTTCGGCGGCAAATGCGGCCGCGCGCTCCCGGGAGCTTGTTGTGATAATCTCTGGATCCTGGCCGTTGTTGGGGTTATACAGCAGTTGGAGGGTGTAACTATCTAGCTACTGACAGGTCCAGTCCCAAACCGTGCAGGCTTGGAGATCTCAGCCCCGGGTCCCACACACCTGGGTTCCTCTGCCAGGTGTTTCACTAATAAAAAAAAAAAATTAAAAAAAGAAAAGAATAAAATTTGGGAACTAACAAAAATAAAATAAAAAGTGGGGGAGTTTTAAAAAATGCATGTTATTTACACAATGGAGTACTATGTAGCTGTTAGAAAAGACGAAGTCATGAAATTTACATACAAGTGGTACTACATGAAAAGTATCATGTTAAGCAAAATGAGTCAGAAAGAGAGGGATAGACATAGAAAGATTGCATTCATCTGGGGAACATAAAGTTACAAAATAGGAGACTAACACCCAAGAATAGCCGAGATTAGTACCAGGAATTTTGCTCCATGGCTTGGAGGCCAGCCACACATGCTAGGGGAAAAGGCAGCTCAAATAGAGAAGGGAACACCAAATAAAGGGTGTTGGGAGGATCCTCCCAGGATGGAGAAGCCCGCTGAAAGTAGACTATAGACCGAACATGATTGCCACTCAATGTCTCTCTTGCAAACCACAACACCCAAAAGGAGAGAGAGCATGTTAAACAATGATAAGTATAAAATAAACCATACACAAGGAATATTTATATTCCTCTGTTAATTAAAATAAGCCTAAATAGTAGTCACCAAAATATTAATAAGATTAACTAAAAACAATAAGTATTCATCAAATTCCAACTTCAGTTACTAAAATGTATCAATAATGAATAGATCAAACTATCCCATTATGTCCCTTAGTCTGGAAACATTTCTGGTAATTGGGCTGGGGGGAAGGGCTTGAAAACAGAAATCGAGGTATGACAGAAATAAAATGATTCCCTACACAGAATCTAGGAAATAGAGAAAAGCAGCAGACGGTCCCTCCAAAGAGTAAGGAACTGGACAAGTCACCCACCAAGTTTCCCTGCCCGAGAGCAGGTTAGCTGGGACTTCACTCAGACAGGAAGGGGTAAAGGCAAGGCCTGAAACCTCTCGGAGCCTACGACGACCAGAAACCCAAACACAGAAAATTGCATTTGTTATATTCTTATTATACCTGCCTGACATCTTCCCCTTATTTTTCCGTTTGCAGTTTTAATAAACTTATAATATCCATAGAAAAAAATGCTAAGAGACAAAATAACGCTGACACCAGTTGAACCCCTTGCACTCTCCCGAACCTGGCTCACCATCTCATTCTAGATGATACCTGACTCAGCAGGCCAAACATGGAATTCCACGTGTGATCGCTGCTGGAACTCTGCTCATGATTCCTGCTGGACATCACAGCTGTTTTGCGTGGTATTAAGACAGAATGGAGTCTGGGGACAAGGGAAGACCACGGCGGCAGCCGCAGGGTCACCAGCCTTCCCCAGTTGCACCGAGTCACACCACCATCCAGCATGGAATGGTGACAGTAGCCCACGCAGTGACTTGTCCACTGAAGGATACTGTTCACCACCCACCAGGTGACTTGGGACTCGGCACAGGTGTTTGACCTGGCAGACCCCCTGTGCAATGGGGTCTTGCTCTGCCAGCTATTCAACAACCTCCAGGCACATTTCACCTACCTCAAACTGATTAGCCTGAGGCTGAAGATGCTCCAGACACTGCTGAAGATGCAGGCAAATGCATGTTGTCAGTGCACAAATTGTCACAGCAGGCTGGTCACCAGGAGCTTACATTAGGTAAACGGGGAACACCTGCAGGGATGATTAGAGATTGTCCCAAAAGCATCCATCTATCCCTGGCCCCCTCCCCCTCACCGAGAGCCCGGCAAGCTACTGAGGGTATCCAGCTCGCACAGCAGAGCCCGGCAAGACGCCTGTGACATACCAAATATGCCAACAGCAATAGCTAAAATGGATCTCATTTATCTAACCCAGAATGAGTCTCCAGCTGAGTTGGGAAGAAGGAGAAGGCTCGTACTAAGCAGACAGTGTGCACGTCAACAGGCAGGAAGGAACCCTGCAAGCAGCTGGCCAACAAGGCAGCCTGCAAGAGTGCACCGAAGAAGCCTCACCACGACCTGCTCCACACAGTGGAGCTACCTGACAACCTCCAGCTGCAGTTCCAGTGACTCGTGTGCGAGATCACGCAGGAATTCAAGACTGACCTGTGATTCCCAGAACTCAGCTGTCATGGTGCTGCAGGAGGTTTGCAAGGCCTACCTGGTGGGGCTCTTGGAGGACACCAACCTCTGCCCATTTCCTGCCAATCGCCTCACTAGTATGCCCAAGGACATCCAGCTGGCGTGCCACATCTGCGGGGAGAGAGTATAAAGTTTATGATGCTAAAATCTCAGGGCTGGGACAAATGGAGATGCTACTGGTGCCCACTCAAGTAATTGATGTTTAATGGGGTGACAGTGACAGTGACAGAATATTCAACTCTGTTCCATTTGGTCTGCGGTTTTGTTTCTAGCACAATACCATGCTGTTTTAATCACTACTACTGGTAGGAACGCCTACTGATCCAGCCTTTTTGGAAAACAATATGGATAGTCCTTCAAAAACTTGAAACTAAGCTTCCATATGGTCCCACAATACCACTCCTGTGAATATATCCTGAGGATGCAAAAAAGCATAGTAGAAATGATATCTGTACCTATAAGTTCATTGCATTACTGTTAACAATAGCCAAAATCTGGATACAATCCAAGTGCCCAAGAACAGATGACTGGTTAAAGAATCTTGGTAAATATACACAATGGAATACTATGCAGCTGTTTGGAGAGATGAAGCGATGAAATTTGCTTATAAGTGAGTAGACATGGAGAGTATCATGCTGTCTGAAATGAGTCAAAAAAAGAGGGAGGGATAGATACAGAAGGACTGGAAGGAGTATAAAATAACATGAGACCGACATCCAAGGACAGTAGTTAAAAGGGTCAGGAAGATTGTTCTATAGTTGGAAACCTGCCTCATGAGCTGGTGGGGAGTGGACAGCTGGAATAGAGAAGGGATCACTAGGAAAATGGTTGGAAGAATCTGTCGGGATGGGAAATGTGTGACAAAGGTAGATAAAAAACCAAACATGATAAACTCTCAGTATCTGCATTGCAAACCATAATGCCCAAAAGTAGAGAAAGAGTATGGGGAATGTTGTCTGCCATGGAGGGAGTGGGAGAGCGGGAAAGGTGGGCGTGTACTGAGGCTATTGGTGGTGGGGAATGTGCACTGGTGGAGGGATGGTTGTTTGATCATTGTCTGACTGTAACTCAAACATAAAAGCTTGTAACTATATCTCATAGTGAATCAATACAATTAAAACAATAATAATAATAAAATAATAATATAATAAAAATAAAATAGAAAGGTTTGCTGTATAGCACCTTTTATAGTGAGCATTTTATCATGTAGCTTTGTAGCACTGTATTCTCATTGGTCATTGATTTGCTCTAGCGGGCACCAGTAATATCTCACAACAAATTGTGAGACTTGTTGTTACTGTTTTTGCCATATCAAATATGTCATGAGTAGCTTGTCAGGCTTTGCTGTGCAGGCGAGATACTCTCGGTAGCTTGGTGGGCTCTTCAAGAGAGGCAGAGGAATCGAACCCAGTTCGGCCGCGTGCAAGGCCTTACCTGCTGTGCTATCGCTCCAACCCTAGATAAAATAGACACTTATTTTTAATGTGAGCAACTTGTTTCTATCTCAAAGATAAGAATCATTTAGTGCACATAAATAGAACAAGAATAATCTGGACTACATTACTACATTATGTGAGAAAACATTAATGAGCTGTATTCTTTCCACACAGGACTATATGTAACACCAATAGAACAATACTGCTTAGTTCCCTGGTATTCGAGTTTATGAGTTTCACTGAAGAAACAAAAGTGACTGATTTAGGGAAAGAATACAATTCAAAAAATTAAATATTTTTTCAATTTCTGAGAAATTTCTTGTGTGGGAATTTAGGCTTTCTTTTCATACAAGATAGCCCTAAAATGGAATATCTCATAAAAATTTTAAATGATGTAGGAAAGATTACTTTATGGTTTCTAATATTTGCAATTTCTTTTGAATCAAAAGAGATAAAAGACTATATATAAAACTAAATTCAATGTTGGAAGAAGGCTCTTCTATATTTAATTAAAAATACATCTTTTATATGGGCTTCAATCCTCTGATAATAAGTTCAAACAGATGTTGGGAGATTCATGCTTTTGACTTGATCATTTCATAATATGACAACAAGCTGAACATAAGTAATATTAATATCATTTATAATTATGGCTGATACTACTGCAGTATTTACAATTTGTCGAGCAGTATTTAATTCCAGGTCACTAGAATTTGTTTTCTTATCACTGTTATAACAAAACAATGTTATATGAGAAGCTGAAGTAGGGCTGTAGTTAGAATTGGTTAAGATGACAAATTGCATGCATATTAATGACAAAACCAATCAATGGTGGTGGAGGTCAGATAGCTATTATTCTTGGAAAGGGAAATTGACAGAAAGAGCACAGGAGGAAACTATTTCAGTGTTGAAAGTAACCCAGATCTAGATCCACTGTTTTCCAATGTAAATTTAAAGGTAAAGGTAAAGGTAAAGGCCCTCCCGTTGATCATTGATTTGCTCGAGCGGGCCCAGTAACGTCTCCATTGGAGACTTTGTTGTTACTGTGTCTGGCATATCGAATACGTCACGGGGAGCTTGCCAGGCTCTGCCGTGCAGGCGAGACACTCTCGGTAGCTTGCCGGGCTCTCCGAGAGGGGCGGAGGAATCGAACTCGAATCAGCCATGTTGACTTTATGCAAGGCAAATGCCCTCCCTGCTGTGCTATCGTTTCAGCCAGTATCGCCAATAAATAATTCTTCCTGTCTTAATTATTTTTATTAAAATAAAAATATTTAAAGTTCAGGAGTTTACTTTTAAACCTGTTATTACTGATGCTTACTGGGATGTGTTCATTGTTTCCCTCATTATGACCCCAAGATAGTAATTGTCACCAAAGGCAAAAAAAAAACTTAGACTTTGAAGTGCAAATGGCCAGTCCTCACTTGGCTGAGGTGATACCCAAATCAGGAAGGTGGTTTTCCCCATGGAGAGGCATATTCATTGTTCTTTGGATGTGCTGAACCCTGCAATTTTCCCAAATGTGGGAAACTCAAATGCATAATTTGTGGTAGGGGGTGGGGTGGGGGAGAGTGTTTGTGTTCTGCCCTGTTTGTAGCACTGTCCACTGTCCTCCCATTGTTCATCGATTTGCTCGAGCAAACACCAATAACGTCTCCATAGTGACACTTGTTGTTACTATTTTTGGCATATAGAATACACTTCGGGGAGCTTGCCAGGCGCTGCCATGTGGGTGCGATACTCTCGGTAGCTTCCTGGCTCTCAAAAAGGGGCAGAGGAATCGAACCCTGGTCAGCTGCATGCAAAGCAAACACCCTACCCACTGTGCTATTTCTCCCACCCGTGTTCTGCTCTAAAGAAAAAGCAAAAAAAGTAAATTATCAACAAAAATGCACTCAGGCACCAAAAAATGAAACAGTTAGGGTGCTCTTAGAAGTGTGAGGGCAACATATGCATAAAAGAATAGAATTTCATGACTTTACAGTGTATTTTAAGGATGCCTGCTAGTTGGCTCTGTTAAATTTTCCAGTCCCTGCTCTTATGTACCAGCTGACTTTCGATGTGGATACTAAAGGTTTTTAATGTCTTTGACAACTTGTTGGGAAGGAGGATGAAGTTGCAATATTGTACCAGGGAACTGAAGCTCATATATTCTGTGGGTATTTGTTTGTCTCCTTTTGTGTCTTATGTGCTTCATTCTCTGTGCAAGTCCCCTGCAGGATTGAAGTTGAATGACCCAATTTAGTTGACTTTATACAATGGGGAAATTACATCTTCAGAGAAAATTTTTTCATGAGACATCACAATATGAGTATGGAATATCTACTTACTAAGAAATTTCTTTATCTTTTTCGTTAGATAGGCTTTTCAAATATGATAAATGAATTGTGTTTGAGTATATTTCATAAGTGTATCTGAATAAATGTATAAAAATAATTATAATTGTACAAATGGTTCCTTTTTTGATTTTCATTATTTTCAATACCACTTAAAACATAAGTTTTACCAAGTAAAAAATGTTAACAATTAGGAAAGAAAATATGCATGGAATTATAATTAACTTATTTCCGTAGAGAATTAATAGTCCAAGTACGTGAAAGTGCAAGTAATATTTTTAAATCTAAAAAACTGATTTTACTCCAGAAATTACAAACCACATACTTACACCCGTGGACTCATTTATTCTACACATTTCAGTCCAAAGTGTCTTTCTATCGGAGTAAGAAATGCAGAAAAAAACAGTTCAAATGGAGCTATTTAGCTGAAACAAGAATGTCAGTCTCTTCTCCACCTGATCTTGAAAAAGAGTGTAAATTAGTGACTTAATTGATTATGTGAATTTCATTTCCTGTCTCTTCCAATCCCATTCTTTGGTAAAAGTGCTAATGAGAACTGAAATGACTACAGGGTGAACAGCAAGGAAAGGAAAATGCAAGGTTCATAGTTAATCACAAATTAAACTGAGACTTTTTCTGCTGCCTTCCACTGACTTTGTCAAATGAAAGTGATCTTAAGCTTAATCACTGTCTTCTAACTTTAAATATCCTAAACATTTACCTTCTTGGGGATTTTTAGTTTTTCCGGTGTCTGGGCCACACCTGCTGTGCTAGGGGCTGATTTCTCGCTCTGCATTCAGCCATGGCTGCTGATGAACTAAGGGGGACCATATCGCAGAACTGTGTTTAAACACCGGCATGCGCTATGGTCCCCCTTAGCTCATCAGCAGCCATGGCTGAATGCAAAACAATCATCCTGCCCACAATATTATCTCTCAGGCCCCTTTCTTCATAGAGAATTTTATATGGCTGCGTACCAGAACTAGTGTGCAAAACTTTCCAATGAAATTATTTTTATTTCATTGGAAAGCAAACACATCATTTAAACTTGTTGTTCCAAAACTTGTATTCTTCTATGTTGCAATGTGCTTGACAGTTTTTTGTTGTAGTGATGGTGACATTGTATTGGAGAAACTATCAGGAAGATTGGGGTCCCTGTCAATCACTCTCAGGCAACTGAACCAAGGGTGTAATGCTTAAGCCAGGAACACCTTACAGTGCTGCCCATTGCCAAGGCCATCCCAGCAGTGCTGGTGATAGAGACTACGGAGGAGCAGGCAGGGCAAGATTAGGGATATGTCCCCAAGTGAAGTTCATCTGGTATGGAAGGTGGCAAAGGAGTTCTTAATCACTTAATC